TGTTGTGCTCTGTCAGCTTGACCTCTCGAAAGAGATGAGAGCGGCTAGTTGGAAGCCAGTTGCGACAGACCAGACCACATTTCCCGAGGAGGTGAAAGTCGTCAAAGGCAGACTCGATGAATAACTCGAAAATCTCTTGAGGAAATCGCGGTGACATGACGGAACAGTGTATTTTGACACGTGATCCATCCAAGCCATACCGTAGAGACGCCGATTCAGAGAGTAGAGCGCGTCTTGCCAGGGGAACAAGCAACTCTTGCGTTCAGATAGCGTAGCTCAAAAGGGTATTGTTTGCATTGAGACGCGGATTCTGGTCGAACAATTGCAAGATGCTTCTGTCGACTGCTGATTCAGGATTGAAGGACGTGTAGATGGAGTGTACGAGGAATCGGTGGACCTTGGTGATTAAGGTGGCACCTTTCGCGAGCAGAAGGCGTTGAGACTCTGCTGAAGTGTTGGTGAAAAGCTTCAGGTGATTTTTCTTCCTTCGAAGCCAACTGCTTTCTGCGTTTCAAATTCAAGTTCAGTTCAACCGGAACTTGCATCATCTAAAATTGGCTCCGACACAATGTATTATTTGTGGAGCTATACGTTAGCCATCTGGCGCCCGCAGCTGGGAAAATACCTGTCCGCACAACTCGAGGTTACCGTCATTCCCACTGCGGTGTACCCCCTTTTTTACACAAAAATATGGTAACATGCCTTTGAACAGCAACTGCCACCATGTTTTCAACTTCACGACGTCGTCACGGTACGAGGACGCTAATAATCCCTTTGCTCATTCTGCTCTACCTGGCAGTCTCGTTCACTTCCTTCGAATTCCCGTTTTTCGACTATGACGGCCCAGAATACCTCGACGAGAGCGCATGGGCTGCTCCAGCGTCCTCTGTTCCTCTTGGGAAGCACCTTTATAGAGATGATGGCCTGCTCGAGGTTAATCAGGATGGTCCCCATCCGATTTTCGAATTAATGAAAGACGCGGAGGACAAATGGAGACGGAAAATTGCTGCTGCGAGTACCTCTCTACCCCAGGCGGTCCGGGAATACCAGCGTCGGTATAAGAGGGATCCGCCAAAGGGCTTCGATTCCTGGTGAGCTTTTCTTCTTTTTCGTCTTCCGGGATATTGATGTTTTAAAGGTGGAACTATGTGAAGCTTCACAATGTCCAGCTACCAGACGACTATGATTCAATACACGATGATCTGGAACCTTTCTGGGGTCTCCAACCCAATGATCTCATACAAAGTTTGTCCGAACAGGAATCGCGAACCGACCATGATTCATATACCATTGCCAAAAATGACACGACTCGCGTCGGCGTTGTCCATACATCCTTTGCTCCAGGAAAATATGAAGACCTGATCAGTGGGTCTGTTAGGATCGTGGATTTGCTGCGGGACGTCGACGAATTCCTGCCGTCCTTCAGGGCCGTTTTCTCGCCACATGACGTGCCGATGCGTCTCTCTGATTATAACGTCAAAAAAGCTCATCTCAATGCTGCCAGCTCACAAATATGCATGTTCATTTGTCTCATATTTTACATTTACATGCTGACCAGCTCTTGCAGATCTCCCAGCAGCTCCAGACATCTCAACAAAAGGTTGGGCATCAGCTTGTGCTCCGTATTCGCCGTTGGCCCTACTTCACCCGATAAATCTCGACAAACCTTTCCCCTCTAAATCCACAAAGTCCTTCATTCATGACCACGTCAAACTGATGGACCCTTGTCTCCATCCGGAGATTATTTGGAATCATGGACAATTCCTGGGCCATAACAGCCCGATCCCAGAGCAAACGATGGTCCCCGAGTTCACCCAATGCTCGACGACAATTCATCACGATATCCGTATACCGACGCCGTATCAATGGCTCGATGACATTTCGTCATGGGAGAACCCAGGCTGGACGCATCAAACAGACAAGCGATTGTTATGGCGAGGGATCAACACTGGGATATTTTACGCCGAAGACACACGTTGGCTGAAATCCCATCGAACAGCGCTGGTCGAACAAACGAATGACTTGAACGGAACTGTCAATCTGCTAATTTCGCCGACAACTGCGCTCGAACCTATCGGACAGCCCAGGACTGTATCAAAATCAGTATTGAATTCGGCCCTGTTTGATGTAGCCTTTGCACCACAGCCGACCCAGTGTACTCCTGGACTTTGCAGCTTCTTGAAAAAGACATTTCGATGGTCCAAGAAGATGTCGGTCAGGAAAGCTGGGTTCTATCGATATGTTCTTGATGTAGGTTTCCTCATCTGAATTGGACATGACTAACTTTGAAAAAGGTCGATGGAAACGGGTGGTCCGGGCGTTTCAAGAGGCTCATGACATCTAAAGCGGTTATATTCAAGTCGACGGTTTATCCTGAATGGTAAGCGGCACTGCCGGAATCCAAGTATGTTCTCACATTCTTCCTAGGTACACCGAACGCATTGCACCCTGGCTTCACTATGTCCCAGTCCAGGTTGATCTATCCGATTTGCATGACGTTTTGGTTTTCTTTAGAGGCGACGCCGAGGGTCACGGGGCACATGAAAACTTGGCGCGGAAGATTGCTCTGGAAGGCAGGGCATGGAGTAGATCGTTTTGGAGACGGGAGGACATGGTGGCTTATTTCTTTCGGTGAGTAATTCTAGTGAATATTCTCCTGCTCTTCTCACTTGTCGACCTCTAGATTGATGCTCGAATATGCCCGAGTCATGAGTCCGGATAGAGAGGCTATGACATTCGACGTCGACAGTGTACTTGAAAATTAGCGCGAGCTGGGTGTAATTTGTAAACTAATGATGCTGGTAACAGCGACCTAAATGAGGAGGAGCACCAGCAAAGAGTACGAAGAGCTCGCATAGCGAGTATAAACGAGTCGCTCTATATCTAGTATTCTAGACTGACAGCTGGACGAATATATTATGCTCAACGTTGTAAATCAGTTGCACCGGGAGTCTAAGAGCTAAATGACTTGGAAAAGCACGCATTCACTGTGTTTGCTGGGATATATTGGAGATGTGTAAGAGACCCGATACAAGGTGTATAAGCTTTGGATCAGCTTTTGGGGTGTATCATCAAGCAATCAGGGCATATAAAATTCTGTCATGTATTTCCGTGTGTTAAGGTGCCCATACCGGATGTATAAAGGATTGATACAAGATTGATACAGGACATGCCGCGGCATGAGGCAATTTTTTTGATCAAATCTGGATTAATATCCGTGTCAACCCCATATCGGTTTTGTTGTACAGCTCGTAAGTTGTACGCTCGTATCTGCAGTGTTGAAAAGCACAGTTATGATAGCCCGTCCTAAAGGTTGCGTGAAGTGGAGAGAACATGTGAATGTTCATTCTTCCTTTCTGCCTCCCATCCTCCACTGCTTCCATGCAGGGAATTGTAGCCAGCTGTAGACCATTTGTTGCCCTGGTCCGAAGGGGAGCGCTGAGCTCAATGCCCTTTGTTGTATTCCTGTCCTGGCACAATTCTTGTGAAAATTTCAGTCTGGTGCCCTAGTACTGTAAAAATATGACCTCAGGTTCAGTAACGCGTAACGGGCACCCATGAACTCACTTCCTACCAGTGTTCGTAACGCATAACAAGGCCGCCTGAACTGACAATTTTCGAGCTGCGTAACGTTTTAGGGCTGCCGGAGCGGCCGGCTATGCCGGCACAGGCCAAGAATGAACAGAACCCGTAACACCAATTTTCGGCGCCTGAACTGACTTCCGGCCAAGTTCAGCCGGAACGCGTAACAATGGGTGAACTTAAGGTCATATTTTTACAGTACTATCCTCTGATGATTACCTTGCTTGTAGTCTGGGCCTTATGGGTGGGGGTCCACTGAGGTGAAGTCAACCAGCCTTGAAGGAGCCTTGACTTGTGATGAGAGGTGATGATGCTGCAGTCTTTGTTATTCAGATTCCAGTGGCTGTGGTTCAAGTATCTCGCCAAGTCTGTGAATTTGATGCTATGTATTCTACGCACTGTTATTTATTCTATTATTTTATCATTTACAGTATTTGACCATTGAGCTGTACACTACGGGTCAACTGTATAGTAGTCATTCATGCCCTAGATACATGCTAAATACATCATTTTTGCTTTGTAAAACATAGAATGGATTGAAACTGCACTAGAAGAGGTGCTAGTACCACAATTTATCAGCCAATCACCAAAAGCTACAAATAATAGTGTTGATATTGTGCTCTGTATATGAATATTTGGGGTCTGGAGCAGACTGGAGGTACACTCACTTGAACTCTATGCAAAAATCTTGAGGTATTTGGTGACAAATCCCTCGTAGTAGAGCAGAAACAGGTCTTATGTCCAGTATGTCACATATGTGACATGATCTGAACCTTCAGCCATCCTCTACAGCAAGGATGATGCAAGCCAGCTATGTCATGGACAGTATAATGAACAATACTGCACATCATCGATCCAGTTCTTGTTGATGATCTCGGGCAAAATACAAAGTGTACAGCTGAGCCATTTGTCACACTCCAAGGCATGACAACAATGATTGGCCTGTATCTCAGTCAGATATTGACTGTTTGCCTTGAAGTTTGGATCAGAGACAACTGATATATCTCATTCAAGGTTCGTACCCTTCAGCCGAATTGACTACCTTTCAATCCTGAATCCCAGAGTCATCTTTATTTGGGTGTACAGGCCAACAGTCAAATACTGTATTTTCCATCATGGATCAGCGCTGTATGAGAACATGTCAATATCATTGTAGTAAAACCATGCTGATTTCAGTCTCGATACATCGCGTATAATGAACGTATCACCGTCTGATACGCGGCGAAAGGACGATGTGTCGAGCTCATCACACAAACTTGATCAGTCTTTGATACGAGCCTGATACAAGGGCGATCATGCTCGTATCAACGCAATGACAACGCTCTGATCTCTAGCCGCAAACGCAGGTGATTGCAGTGTTTTGGTCGTCCAGAGGAGTCTCGGGGCAATACAATCGATAACTGTCTGATATCTGATATGGCGATATGGCCGAGCGGTCTAAGGCGCTAGAATCAGGTTTATTCCACACTTCTGGGTGTGGGATCTGAACATCTAGTCAGAAATGGCGTGGGTTCGAATCCCACTGTCGTCATTCCTTTTGCTTTTAGTCTCTCTGACCATCTGGAACGTTCTAGAACCTTGGGTGTCCAAGAAACAACAGAGAAAAAGGCGGAACAATGTTTTGATGGAATTATATCCCCGATTGATGGAAATTCAAACTCCGACGCGGTCAAGATTCACTTGAAAGATGTCTCGACGTTCTTGAAATCATTTTCACAACTTGAGATCCACTTCTAGCTCTCAAATTCATCTCAAAATCAGTCGATAAGACCGCCAAGTACTTTTTGCACTTTGTCTTTCATTCAACGACAACAATGACCACTCGCCAGTCGAGAGACTTGGAAATTCTTCCCTCGTGCTTGGAGATCCACAAGTGCTCGTCGAAACCTCGGGAGAACAGCAGGATGTTATTGAAATCCACGGAGGAAGTATATCTGTTATATCGTTCAATACTCACAACTCCCACGATTATTTTCTTTTGAAAGGCCTGTTCCTATTATAATTTGACGATTCTCAATTCAAGATAAACCAGACACAAACTTGTGCCACCTAATAAAAGACCCCTCTACTTGGTACATCTTTGATATTGTTATGCATGTAGTCTGTCTAGGAGAGACTACCCCTCTACAGTCGGTTCAAATCCTGAGGGAAGAATGCTTGCTCGCATCATTGGATCAAGGAGACTCTGGATTCAGAGCTTTCTATGAGTACCGACCTTTGAACTTTAGACCTTGGTGGGGCGCTGTTCTATAAGTATTGTGTGGCGCTCCAGCGCTCGGACTGTGGACAGATGTCTATTTCTCTGGCCCGAAAATTCATCTGTGAGCAGTTGTATGGTTCAGCGGATACACCTCAGACAGAGCTTCAGTATGTACAGAAATCAATTTGATCGCGGAATATCAATAATCGGTGTGGCTGTGCCTCCGCCTCATACTGATCGATGAATCAAATCCAACCGTGTTCGAGAGCTATATTCGGGAAGCCAAAGTTTTCAATGATGGACGGCATGATACTATTTGTGAGTCCTCGGAGTGCTAATGCCTAGCATGAACTGATCTTTCTTAGGTCGCCCTTTTCTCGGCTGTCATCACCGCGTTTCTCATCGAGAGCTACAAGACTCTTTCACGCGATTCAACCAACGTGATGATTATCTCGCTATACCAGATTTCGCAACAGCTTGCAGCGAACGGTAACAGCAAGCTGTTCCCATCCAATCTCCTGCAGACATTGCTTTCCGGCCGTCTCGAGCTGTAATAATTACCAATGCATTTTGGTTTCTCAGTCTCGGACTGAGTCTTGCTTGCGCTCTCATAGCGACTTTGATTCAACAATGGGCCGCTGACTACATTCACGCCATCGGTCGTCGACAAGCGCCTGAGAAACATGCTCGGATTCGAGCTTTTCTCTTTGAAGGAGTAGAGAACTCGAATGTTGGAGCAATCGTAGAGGGAACTCCGGTACTGCTTCATGCATCATTGTTCAGCAACGGCCTGTGGAAACGTCGCTTAGCGGCCATTATGTTCGCCTTTCACAGCTATTCTCTGGACAGAGAGCCGCAAAAAGCGCAGTAGACAGTGAATAAAGGGATTCAGGTATGTTCCGTGTTCTTTACATCCAGTTTTCTTGCTGAATTGGTTTCTTCCGAGCCACGCATTCCCAAATCCCCGCCATTCATCCCCGAACCCTTCCCGCGGTATTTTCCGTCGCGACTCCGCCCCTAGAATTTCACAGTGGTCGCAACTATTAGAGAAAGCTAGGAGCATAGGGAAGTTATCTCAGACTAGCAGAAGGAGACACAGTCGGGTCGCAAAAATGTCCTGTGTCTAGATAAAAATGTACAATATATAGATCGATAATATATACATATATATAATTCGTCTGTTTTTAGTTGCTGCAATGACCATGACCCTTGTGCCCCTCCGCGCTTTTTTTTGTCGCAGTGTCGGGCGGGCGCCGTCCAAACACGCGACGTAGAGTCCCAATGCGGTATCACGGCGGTGGACTGGTTGCGCTGTTCGAGGTCGGTAAGTCACGCGTCAGCTATTGACGGACCGCCGCTAGCCGAATCGCGAATAGTACCAAAGTTGTCGTGCCTCAAGCAGGGGATAAGCCGCAACAAGTAACATGGCGCTTAGAGTTGATTGTCAAGTGACTTGGATTCGCAGCAGTCCGATGGTACACGCCAATGTGACTGCAGAAATCGAAAAGGTGTCTAAACCCAATAACGGGATCGATGAAGAAGAGATTTCTCGAAAAGAGATAGTCTTACCTCTCGATCATGGCTCCTCAACAGCCTCAGCTTCCCCCGGGCCATTGGCGGCCTGGGGTCGGGATGAATGACTTTCGTGCAGCGTGGAATGGTTCACTCACCGAGGGAAATCATTGCCCTGGAACTGCGCCATTATCTTCATCCATCTGGCCTCCTATTCCTTCGACGAGTCGGTCGTACTTATCCCTTCTCTGCCTTGTTGTCGACCAGAACCATAAAGTGAGGCAGATTGGAAACGGAAACTACCAGAACGCATCGTAACCGGGCAAGATCTGACAATATATGAGCTTGAGTGTGTCTGCGTTTTGTAGGGAATAGTTTGAGCGGACTCAGGCGATGTCACAGTCACTTGAGGTCACACCGGCTTACAGTTCCTGATCGAGGTCTGAGGCTGCGTCTCTTTCGAGCACTCCTTTCATTCATCTTTCCCTCTTGCTTTGAGCCTTTTTAATATCTCGAGACTTGCCAGACTTCCTTTGATACAAAATCCCAAAAGTCACACCTATCTATTCTCGAAATCCACAAAAATAATACCTGAAAATGAAATGTCTGCTCGAACTGGCAGTATCTTGAACTCGTGTACTTTCGAGAAACAGAATACCGGGCACTTCAGGAAATAGAATATCGTCTTTTCACTTCTTCTGTGCTCGAGGTCAATATACATCAGACAAGAACAACTCGGACGCACTCGACTTGGAATCGGTCCTAACAATTCCTGGCCGTGAAAGCTGAATCATCGATGCCGAGGTAACTTTACGCCACCGGAGATCGGCCAAAGGCGGCTCAAATGTATCCTCAAAGCCTTCTGGGTCAATTGCCGGATTCACCAGTTGATCTCCAAGCCTGCCCAGGTGTTGAATGGATAGCGGAGGGATGAATCCGGCTGACCGAGTGTGAGGCACTCTGGGTGGAGGCGCATAGTAATAAGGTCTCAGCACTCTTGGAAGTTGGGTATGACTGCGAGAAATGACGAGGAATTCCACAGCATGAACTGATAGTGCTTTGTCTCCAGTTTGGTCATCCTCATTGAGAGCAATAGTTTTCCCCGGTGGAGTGGTTCGGAATTCCTTACTGAGGAGAACAGCATGAGCTGAAAGTGTCCTTTGACGTCCTTTGCAGTGATCAAAAGCATCCAATGTAATACTGGAATCTGGAAGAGCGCTTGGGGGTCGACAGAGAATTGCTGGTGATGATTGAGCGAATGTCCCGGAGTATAGAGGACGGGGCTGGGATGCCAGGGTGACGTTGCTTCGAAACTGGAAATCAATAGCTGCGAATGGTGACTCTATGGTTAACGTTGTTCTCTCCAGCTGCTCGCTCAATTTCAAAGGCCCTCGGACGGCTAGAATCGATGAGAAACTTGTGTAACATTGAAGGTTTACTCGAGTGGGAATAGCATGCATGACGTACGAATCAACAAAGGGAGAAACAAAGTTTCGTGCATGCGAGTTTGCCTTGATTGAACAAGCAATCCAGATCTCCAGAATCAAGAGAAAAATGATGAGACTGTGGCCCAGGTGAGAATCGAGTTGTGACTATACAATGAACCGAGGCATACAAAATATCGTGGGCACCTAAGACAACAAACGGATGAGCGCTGAGCTGTCATATATTTGAGCGGAAAAAGCCGGATACCTTCAAAGGCGAGCTGCGTTAGGGCTGAGGATAAGCCAAAGTTGGCTTTCATTTGAGTTCGATATCGAAATATTCTCCAACCCATAGCAGCGATGTATAAAGTTGCGGCCAATCCATCGAATGCCACCCGTAGTGTCGGCATTAGCAAAGCTAAATATGAGAACCAGTAGAGAAAGATCATTTCAAGTTTGTTTCAGGTTATTTGACTGACCAGCACTGATTCAAGGTCAACTTGGCAAGTGAGAGGGGATCGAGCACCCACTGTGATATATTCATGGCTCGGCACCGAGGAAATAAAGATGGATTCGTGACAGTCACACCATATATTGGCGCCGCTAAGCCCATTGATATCGTTGTGCCGGCATACACCAAACGGATCGTTAACGGCGCGTTCGTATAAATGACCCTTACTCTCCATACACAAACCCAAATTGCGCCTGAAATAGCCAATCAATCGGTGAATGCTCTCAATGTGTCTCACTCACTGGTCCAGCTGAAGAGAAATATGCTCTCAAGTGTTTGAGCATGCGAGCTTAAAACCTCACATCTGTGCAACGCATCAGAAAACTTGGAAGACTTGGTCATAGAGAAAACAGACTGCTGCAAATGATATTCAGATTGTCAAAAGCGCTTTTGTATAGAATCCCATACCGAAGGAGTCCAGGTAGCCAGGGCATAGATGATGTACAAGTAGTACACCAGAGCGGTATATCGCACAGCAGCAAAGGGTAGGCCTATGGCAAGCGAAAGATGGCGACGTCGAGAACCTACTCGTCGCCAAATGAGGCTCCGAATGATTTCCCACTCTTCCGAAATGGTTAAGCAAAAATCGTAAAGATAAAGCACTGTTCGAGCGTCAGAGCATCGATCATCCCTCTAGAGCTCACGAAATACCAGAACTAGTAAGCAGAACATGATCTGCCCAGACCAGAGTCGTCTCACTGATAGAACAAAGGTCAGATTCGGCAGAAGAAAGCTTCGAGAATTCAGAAACATACGAGGGTTGCATGGCGGTCGAAAGCAAGAGCTTGAAGGCTGTATGATACACCTTTTCACTGCCATGGATGGGAGGAAGCCCAGACGATCCGAGCTCATGCCGAACGTCAACCAAGGTGTCAAAAGCTGCT